AAAAAAAAAAAAAAAAAAAAAAAAAAACCTCCAAGAACAGAGACCGAGGTGAGGCCTAGTCAAAAAGAGGACCCAAGGGTGAAAGTTGGGTGAAAGGGGGTGAGTCTTTGTCACTAGTCTGACGTCCACACTTCCTGTGCTCAGATTTGCTTTTCATTCTCTAACCTTTTTCTACTGACCGCACGCATTTAATAACAGAACAAAGAAGGCCTGATTGCCTTCAGTCATGGAAGTTCAGAACAGCGGGGCCTCTTGGAAAGCCAGCTTTTTCAACTCCAGGGAGTTTCATCTTGAACTTGAGAAAGGAAAGAGATCTACCCCTTCCCCCCACTCCTCCCCAAAGAGCGGACAGTTGTATTAGTGTCCTAGGGCAGCCATAACCAATGACCACAGACTGGGTGGCTTGAGATTACAGCAGAAAGGTATTCCCTCACAGTTATGGAGTCCAGAAGTCTGAGATCAAAGCGTGGGCCAAGGCCTTGCTCCCTTATGAAGGTTCTGGGGAAGAATCTTTCCTTGCTTCTTTTTCTTTTTCTTTTTCTTTTTCTTTTTCTTTTCTTTTTGTTACTTTTATTTGCATTTATTTTACGCAGAATTTACTCCCGGGTCATAAGTTTGTTTCTTCAGTTTCTTCTGGGATATCTTTTTCTTCTGTGCAACTTCCTCTTCTGGTTTAGGAACAATCTGCTCTTTTTCGGTAAGGATCGTCTCCGTATGGCAGGAAGAGCTCATGTATGGATTAATCCGACCATGAGCCCTGTAAATTCTATCCCACATCTTGGGGGCTTTGTTCACCAGGATGTGCTCAATGACCAGAGAATCTGCATCTAAACCCTTAAGTTCAGCATGACTCTCTGCATTTTTAAGCAGGTGCACTAAAAATTCAGCCCTCCTTTTGGGCCACCGACCCTGTGTCCAAGCCCCACTCTTTGGTCTGGGCACACCTACCAGCTCCACCAGTTGTAGTGACAAAGTGCCACACACTGCTTCTGTGAAGTGACATCTTTCAGATATTGGTGGCTTTTCGGAGATGCATACTCCGTGAGGGCCTGCGCAGTGTCACGTGTGTTCTTAAAGCGAACACGAAGATTTGAACTTCTTGACTTGCATGATTTTTGTCTGGTCTTCGGGGTCAAGTGAAGAGTGAACCATTGTCCGAGATCACCACAGGCCACTTTTTCCTTGCTTCTTCCAGCTTCTGGTGGCTCCAGGCATTCCCTGGTTTGCAACAGCATCACTTCTATCTCTGCCTGGCTTTATATGATCTCCTCATGTGTTTCTCTGTCTCACTAGTCAACGGGATTTAGGGGCCATCCTAAATCCAAGATCGTTTTCGGTCCACGGACCGGGAACTTTATAAACAACAGAAATTCATTTCACGGTCTGGAGGCAGGAGATCCAGGGTAAGAGTGGGTTCAGAACCCAACCATTAGGTTGAATTCTGAGTTGCAGGCCGCAGCTTCTTCCTGTAAGCTCACGTGGTAGAAGAGTCTAGGGAGCGTTGTGGGGTCTTTTTTGCAGAGCACTAGTCCGTTTATGAGGGCCCCACCCTCATGATCGAATCACTTCCCCAAAGCCCACCTCCCAACATCATCCCATGGGGCATTAGGTTTCAACAGAGGAATTTTGGGCCAGGAACGGTGGAATCACAGATATCAGTCCGTAGCAATCCTTAACTAATTCTATTTGCATAGACTCCATTTCCAAGTAAGGTCACATTCAGAGGTTTCTGGGCATGCTGTGAATCTGAATCCACTACGGGGGTGTTGATACATCTGCTTCTACAGAAGCCTTACCGCCCTGCCATCCCACTTCTGGGTACGTACCCTAGAGAAATGAAAATATGCATTCACACAAAAGCCCGTCCACAAATGCTTTCAGCAGCTCCGTTCGTAATTGCCCCAGGCTAGAAACAAGAGGATTGATCAACAAATTGTTGTGCGTCCACACGATGGAATACTGCTTAGCGATAAAAAGGAATGATTTGTGCCACAACTTTGATTTGCGCCACAACTGGATGAATCTCAAAGGCATTATACTGAGTGAAAGGAGCCAGTTTCAAAGGGTTAAAATCTATAGGATTCCGTTTGTATAACATTCTTAAAAAGAAAAAAAAAACTGAAGGGATGGAGATACCACCCTGGCATCAGCGGTTGCCAGGGGTTGAGGCCTGGGGAGGGTGTGATTATAAATTAGTTTTTTGGGCTGCTCAAACTGTTCTGTATCTTAATTGTAGTGGTGGTTCCAGGAACACATCCACGTGTTAAAATTGATAGAACTGTACGGCCCCCAAAAAAACATTTTTAAAAGGTTGTTTCAGGGGCAGGTAGTCTAACATGAAAAAACAAGGATCAACATATCTTGCTGAGATATTGAGTTGTCATTTTTTGTGAATGATGAAATGGCACTGGATTTTGTATGAAGTTAGGTTTTCAAAATCGTGTCTGTCCCGTGCTAGAAAGACTAGGGGATTAAGATATGGATAACATCTTATGGGTGGTTGCTAATTTCTTCTTTGTACTTGATTCTTCTTCTAACTAAAAACATCTACTTCCTGAGACTTTTTTTTTTTTTTAAGAAAAAAAAAAACAAAACAACTCTGGAGGGGTGTGGTGTGCCTTCTGTGCTAGTTCAACCATGAAGGGGCCAGACTGAGCGATCTGGGAGTCGTACCCATTGTTTCTGTGTGCTCAAACTGGGAATGACCATTACATTGAACTTTCTCCAGGCACCTATCTTGGAAGCCTTTTTGGCAGAGAGATCTGTTTAGGAGTTTAATTAATTTGAACTAATATAGAGAAACATATTCAGTAACTCATGTAGGAAACAGGCAAGCCCCTGTTGCTGACACCACGAATGCCCCGCTTTTTTGAATCGGCTCCCTCAAGATGGCTCACCATGTGGCGTTCTTTTCTACCCCTGCTTCCTGGCCTCCCAAGGACCCCCACTCGCGTCCTTATTCCTCTCCAAGGTGGGAGTGGTCCTCCCTCTGTTAGAAACTCTACAGCCCTCTTGGGAGCCCTGGCCTTACCCAAGTGCTTGCCAGCTTCCCTTGGTTACTGTCCAGGGACCTGTAGATAACATGCAGGACCTGTAGATAACCCACAGATGATGCTGAGGGAAGCCACTTGTCCACCACCCATCTTCGGCTCTGATCTAAGCTGTCTCCCACCACCCAGAGCTTTATTTGTCCCTGCCCCGTCCTCCCCTAACTCAGTGGCCCCTCCCCAGTTCTAAGACACTATAGGGTTGCTGGGTCATGACAATATTTTCCCCAGTTTACCAGCAAAGGGAAGAGTCCCTCTGAGAGACCCTTCGTCCGATTGTCTACGTAAAGCCCTTTAAAACTCAAACCCAATACACTCGAAGGTAAGTGAGCTGGCAATTCAAGGAGAGAGGGCAGTGTAAAGAAAAGAAAATGGCGCAACTAGAAAGGTCTGCTGAGATTCACAGAGACGTTCTTTGGTGCTCCCCTGCCCCATCCCTCACCCCTCTCCACCCCTCCTGTAGCTCTGCACACATCATTACCACCTCATTGAAGACAGAATTTTCTCAGACACTTGTGGGTGGAAACCTTTGCCTTTAGTTTGCTTTGCTACTCCCGCTGGCTTTGGGAAAACAGTTTTCCATTCTGTGCTGAAAAGCCTAATGATATTGTCCACCAGGGAACATTCTCTGGGGAAGCACTGAAGTTTACCCAGTAGCTAAGACAAACTGGCCTAACCCTGATAGATGAGTTTCCTTTACTCAGCCTTAATACCCTCTAAATCCAATGGCCAGTGGAGCATTTGATGAGAATTAAGTCAATGCAATTCACTTCCCCTGCTATTACCATATGGGGCTCCAATTCGGCTCCAAAACCACGGTCAGTTCAGAAGTGAGTCTGGGGTCATCACTTACCCCAACACTCCCAGCACTGGTAGACAGTTCTCTGAGGCCCCCTAGACAGAAACTCCAGCAGCCATAAGTTATATCCCAGCCTCAGGTGTCTCTGGACCACACTGTGCAGGCACATGGAGGGGCTTCTTTCCATGCCACACCAAAATGGCCAATCTTTTGAATCATCCTTGCTGGTTAAATAATGATCCTGAGCCCAGACTACTATGGGCCATTGCTGAGCTTCCTCCTTGCTGAATTTGGACGGGAATACTCTTGTCTGAAGCATACCTTTTAGTACTCAGTACTTTAGTAACATATAGATTATATTTTATATGGTGCTGTTGGTTCAGTCATGCATTCAATCTAGTCTTCTCTCCAAAATCACAAGCCCCCTTGAGAGTGGACACATTCTAAAAGTCATAGTGTTGAACACATAGCAGGTGCTTCATAAATATTTGTTAATTGGGGCGCCTGGATGGCTCAGTTGGTTAAGTGTCCGACACTTGATTTTGGCTCAGGTCATGAACTCATGGTTTGTGAGATGGAGACCCACATCAGGCTCTGTGCTGACAGCATGGAGCCTGCTTGGGATTCTCTGTCTGCTTCTCTTTCTGCCCCTGCACAATTGTGGTTGGTCTCTCTCGCTCTCTCAGAACTAACTAACTAACTAAATAAATAAATAAATAAAGTAAAATAAAATACTGATTTTTTAATTGCTGTGCATCTAGTTTCTTCTTTTCAGAGCACCATTTTTAAGTAATTGCACCGTTAGAACAAATAACAGTTACCCAACTCTGTATTCCGGGTGGGGGAGTGGAAGGGGACGCAGTGCTTTTAAAAGACCAAAGAAGACCAAGCTTTTTTATCTCTATCTGAATGGCAGTTGGAAAATAAGTTGGGTTGGATCACAGAGTATACATATTAATGAAACAGTCACCATTGAATTGTGTAGGTGTGAAAATGTTCTTGGTGAGAATACCAGTAAAGATGGGGTAACAAAATGATGGTTTGCCTTGTCAATAACTTGGACTATGTTTTATCCCAGCCATAATTGCATTTTAGGCTTTGTCCACTGGGTGTACTGATGACAGATAACCATCAATAAACCATGAATCAGACTCTAGCCCCATATGCCTAATGTGTTAACCCAGGGACCATCATTGCCTGCCCTCCACCGAACCAATGGCCATCTTGAGCAAATCGAGAGCATTAAAATGAAAGGATTGTTAAAACAGTAATTCTGCCTCCAAGGCTCCTTCTTGTTGAACCTGTTCTTTGTTGGTATGTCTTCCGTCAGTTGCTTCCCCAGAGACCTCCCAAGTGCAGCAAAATGACGTTAGAGAACAGTGGCTCAGCTGGGATTCTTTTCCCTTTAATCATATGTGAAGCATAAAGCAAGATGACTGGTGAATTTTTCTCAAAATCCCTACCAATCACCCACCTCTACCTTGGACTGATAGCTTCAGCTGATGGCAGGAAGATAAAATACACACAGCTACTAAGCTTGGATCTTTTTTTTCCTCTTCAATTAAAAAAAAAAAATCATAGACTTCATTTTTTAGAGCAGTTTTAGGTTTACAGAAAGATTGTGCGGCAAGTACAGATAGTTCCAATCTAAACTTGGATCTTAGGGGCACCTGGCTGGTTCAACCAGTAGAGCATGCAACTCTTGATCTCATGATTGTGAGTTTAAGCCCCAAGTTGGGCAGAGAGCCTACTTTATAAATAAGTTAATAAACAAACAAACAAACTTGGATCTTAAACCACAAAAGTTACCATTATAGAGAAAAGGGATGCAGAATCTGTGACTCCCAGGTTTGTGGATTTCTGAAAAGCCACTGTACCCAGTGCTGTCCCTCACTGGACTGTAACAAGAGAGATTCCAAATCTAGAAAGACATCCCTCCCTGTTCGAGGAAGAAATCTAGTGCATTGTTAAAACGCATTTCATATTTGTGAGTGTACCTTTCCCTTCTGAGTTAGGACCACATGACTCCTATTAAATAGGGGGCATTTCAGGGCAGCTGGCTGGCTCAGTCAGAGCATGCAACGCTTGACCTCAGGTTTGTGAGTTTGAGCCCCATGTTGAGTGTAGAGATTACTTAAAAATAAAATCTTTAAAAAAAAAAAAACGGGGTGTCTTCCCTTCTCCGTCCCACCCACCTCCATGTATCTATACTCTCCCGGGGAAATGATTTTTAAGAATGGAGTTTTCATGGGTATTCTCCCATACTGGGATATTTAAGCTGTTTGCTTCCTTTCTCTGTTTTTTTCTTGCCATTACAATAATGTCAGGAAGAAAATCTTTGCGCATGAAGCTTTTCCTTCATTTAAGATTCTTAAGATAAATTCTCAAAGCTTAAGCTTACTAGGTCAAAGTATATTAAGATTTAAAATTTTTTTTTTCAACGTTTATTTATTTTTGGGACAGAGAGAGACAGAGCATGAACAGGCGAGGGGCAGAGAGAGAGAGGGAGACACAGAATCGGAAACAGGCTTCAGGCTCCGAGCCATCAGCCCAGAGCCCGACGCGGGGCTCGAACTCACGGACCGTGAGATCGTGACCTGGTTGAAGTCGGACACTTAACCGACTGCGCCACCCAGGCGCCCCAAGATTTTAAAGATGCTTCATACTTAATGTTCCTAATACTTTACAACAAAGGGGAAATTACTCCCTTTTTGTTTGGAATCTATAAGATAATATTTACTCAGGAGATCTGCCTTCTCATTGTCGTAGTGCTCAGTTCAAATCAAAAAGAGTTTGTTTATTGAGCACTCATTGCCTAGTGGGTGGGTGGGAGAAGGTCAGGAGAGTCAACCAGATTGGCACTGATATCCACTGCAGATGATCTGTGGGCGGGCATGTCTCTGGTAATTAACCAAAGATGGGAACATTATTCTTGGGGGTGTAGGGAAAGTACCACAATTAACTCCCTAACCCAGCTCCCATCTCAGAAGGGAACAACTTCTCCCCAAGAAGTTCCCAAGACCATCAAGGTGCACGGCACCTGTGTTAGGTGCGGGCCTGACGGAGCCGTGACTTGATGTATCAACAAGATATATCTCATCATAAAGCTATCTCAGCAGATCTCGTATTCCAGCTGAGAGAGCCAATGGTTTGACCAGAATTTTGGCAGCTACTTCTGCTGCTGGGGAAACCCAAATGAATAGTAGTTACTCATGGTGTTTTCCTCTGGGGCCTGACTAAGCCTCTGTAACAGTGGTGGCTTAGTTCTGGATTGTGCCCTGAAACTGAGCATGAAGATCCGACCGTTTCACACCCCCCCCCCCAATGTGGCCTCTGATTACACTCCGTCATCGTGATCCCCGGCTCTGTTCCATTTCTCCGCCTCAGCGCCTCTGTGGACGACCCAAGGCAGCTGGCTGTGAAGGGGCAGAGAAGGAATGGGCCAAAGAGCAAGATGCAACACGACCCAGAGGTCACTCGACATCACAGACGTTTTAACCGGAAAGAATCTTAGTGGTCCTCTGGATCTCTTGGTCTCAACCTCACTGGGGCCGCAGATCTCTTTAGTGATCAGATGAGAGTGCTTGAACGCTTGCTCCAGAAAAACGCACCTCGCCACATTTGGGGTACGATTCCAGGATGTTTCACGACTTCCTGGTACCCATCCGTTTGACGAAGGCTTTTATTTTCAGGTGAGGCTACAGAGACCCCAAGGAGGTACAAGGTCTTGCCCAAGGTTACACAGAGGAGATCATTGAAGTCCAGCTCAGCTCACCTGAGGCCCAATCTAAGACCTGTCGGCAAATACTGTGAAGTTCCCACTGGACATTGAGCCCTCTGTTGAGAATTACGGAAAGTTAGGGTGCTTCCGACCAAGGCAGTAGAACTCCTGCTCACGAAAGGAAACTAAGATCAATTAGTAAGCGATATTCCTGCCATAGTAGATTCCTCTTTGGGAAGTAAAAGCTAATGCCATCCATTAAGTCGGCGGGCACTGATTGAGCGCCTAAGAGCATCTCCCCAAATCTCTATAATCATTGGGAGGTTAATTATTTATTGAAAATTAGAACTCCTTGTAACCTCAGGCCTGAAGAGAGGTTTCAGTCTCAAGCCTCAAGTGATTTCTGTGGCTATGTTCAAGCGGTGGGAACAACCCTGGAACAATTACTGTGATGGTGCTCCGCATTTCCAATGTAAATGAAGTGTCAAGGTAGCGAAGGCCGAGTAGATTCTGCGGCGATCTCTGCTATTCAACAAAGCAGAAAAGTTCCCAGCCTGAGCGGAGTTCCCAAACTCAGTTGCTCACGACATACATTTTGTAAGTAGTGAGAGGGGAAGCAGTTTCCAGTTTCATCTTTCTGGGAAGAAGCAGGAAGCACTTTTGACTGACATTTATCTTCCCGCTTGGGTGCCGAAAGGCAGCTCTTTATCCCTGGAGGGGTCTGGTTGTGAAGGCTGGAGGCTCGCCCTGAATCTGAGGTTCTCTGCCAGCTCTTGTGTGACCTCAGGCAAAGCTCTTCGCTTCCTTGAGCCTTGGTTTTCTCATCTGAAAAATGAGAATTTTCTCATCTCAGTTCTCTCTCTCTGTGTCCTGATAATGTAGTTTTTTGTTGTTTGCTTGGTTGGTTTTTAATATTTATTTTTGAGAGAGAGAGAGAGAGACAGAGCACGAGTGGGGGAGAGGCAGAGAGAGAAGGAGACACAGAACCCGAAGCAGGCGCCAGGCTCCGAGGGGTCAGCCCAGAGCCCTATGCCGGGATCGAACTCACAAGCCGTGAGATCATGACCCGAGCCAAAGTCGGACGCTTAACCGACTGAGCCACCCAGGAGTCCCTGATAATATAATTGCTAATATAAATGGCTCCTCCCCCTGGCTTTATAGTCTGTTCTTTCATTGTAGCAAATACTTTATTCTGCCTTGCATCTTACGAAATAGCTTCCTAATCGGTCTTAGTAAATGGTAACTCTGTAAGGGCAGGGATTCAGCCCTCCCTGTCTTTGTAGCCCACAGAGCTGAGGGCAGCAATTTATATACACAGTGTGGCAGTCAGGGCTCGATCAGGAGGCACACGGTAATTTGAATAGAGGGAGTGTAATATAAGGAATTGTTAAACTTTGATAGGTGGAACTATAAAGATGTAAAGGGAACCCCAAAGGGTACCCAAGGCTGAGGGAGAATACAGAAGGAAGAACAGACTCGGAAGAGGTCCTTCTCCATGGCTGTGGGGGCTCAGCCTTTACTGGAGAGGCTGTGGTCATAACCCACTGAATGGTGGGGTTTGCGGGTTTTCCTGGACCAGGGCCGGTCCACGGTCGCTAGGCACTGGGAAACAGCCCGCTGGGCACTGGTCAGATGACACTGTTGGGCAGGTGTGTAGAGTCGAGTGCCACAGCCAGTGCAAACCCTGGAACGCACGGTCCTCCATGCAGAGGGCCAAGGTGAAGGCCAGGGCCGCAAGGTCACCAGGCAACCATGCGCTCCCGGCGTGCAATTGAGACAGAACGCAACTGAATGTCCCCACTGACGGACTCTGCAGCAGGAGAAGATCCAACACCGGGAAGAGAAGCCCCCTTCCTCCTGCCACGTCCCTCCAGTAAATGACGTAATGTCATAACTGCTATAAAGGAGACGTGCTTCTTAGGGTCCAGTGCGTTATCTCAGAGCAGAAACTAATGGGTTAATTCGCAGCTGAGGGGCAATAATGTGATAACTGGTATAATAGGTGATCAAAAATGTTTGGATTAAATTAGGAAAAGCCACACAATCTGTCAGTAACTCCCTTAACCCCTGTTTATTTCCCCTTCCTTCAGTCCCATAAATTTTACCACCAATAAATGCCAAACCTCTCTAACTTCTTTTGTAATTTACTCTCTAGAAGCTCATTTCCCTCTGGGGTATTCCATTTTGTTTTGTTTTCTTAATGAGGCACATGTCTTTCTTCTCTTGGCACATACTTAAAAGAGACTCCGGTAAAGAGAGGGGGTGGGGGAGGAGAGAGAGGAACAGAGGGGGAGGGAAGGAGACCCATGAGAACAACCTGACACCCAGTATTTCATTTATTTACTTCTTCACTCAAACTTGAACTTGTTTCCATTCAATTTCTTTCATTTCAAAGCCATCCACCTGTCCTTCCTGAACACTCTTGAGTGTCCCCAGGCACTTGACCTCAAGTGGCAGTGGAAGGAGCCAGAGCTGATCCGAGAACCGGTCCTTCTCTCCCTGTAAGGAAGAGGCGGTGGCCACCTCAGGTCAGACTGGACAGTCAGTCTCCTTGGACAAATCCGAAACGTCCAGTCCCCGACCATTTTAGAAGAAAGTAGACGACAGAGCAAACATCAGACTTGGAGGATAAATACCAGCACAGATATTATTGGAAAGCATATGGAAAAGACTAATAGTTGAAGTCACGAATCAACCAAGGAGAGTGTAGCATGGAAAGGGTCCTGCAGAGGCTGTCCTGTGGGAGATCATGTTATTAATAGGCACCAATTTGTGTCACGTGTCAAGTCAGTGTTCTTAGGCACACTGTTCTGCCAGAATATTTCATTGTCTTCTGAAGAATCAGATTTAATCAGCGGGCACAGTTGATTTCCCTGGCAGGAATTAGCCAAACAGTGAGGTGGGGATACAGCTAAAGCTAAAATGTCTTCCAAGGATGAAGTGGTTTTGCAAACTTAGTCTGTCTACCAGCCTTCAGCAGGGCTGGGAAGAGCATCCCTTCAGGGTGGAAAAAATGAGAAGGGAGAAAAGTAGAAGAACTTCATCGTCCCACCAGAATTTATATCCAGATATGTAGCTGTCTTACGTATTTCATTGCAAGGGACGGACATTCTGGGCCATTGGAACCTGAAGCGGACGATCAGGGAACCTCTCGCCATTTCTCCGCAAGCTCTGCCTTCTTACTCCTACGTGTCCCAAAGAAATCGTGTTCTTAAATAAACAAAAGTAATACATGGGTTTATTCCTGGGTGATGAGATTGTGGACAATCTCTATTTTCTTCTTTTGGTTTATCTGGTTTTTGGTGTTTGTTTTTTTTTTTCTGCCATGGGCATGTGTTGTTTGTGAAGGTAAACATATATAACATTTTTCGTGAAAATGAAACAAAACAAAACACATTTGTCTTCCCTAAATCTTGGGCTCTGTTGCCACTTGTGGTCTTCTATCTAGCCAGACCCTTTGTAGCCTCTTCACGCCCCCTGTTCAGATTCACTGCCAAAAAAAAACTCAGCAGTCTTCATTTTTGGAAGAGATTTATTTCTTCACTCTTGGACTTCTAAAAACAGACCACTTTTTCTTCTACTCCTCGCCAGGCGGTGATTGATGCTACACCTGCCTCTGATGTGACAAAATGTAAGCGACGAATAAAAAGCCTTTCATGAGTCTTGCACATGCCAAGGCCGGCAGAAAGCCCCAGCCAGGAGCACTGAGCCATGTGAAGATACTCCGTGGGGTGTTATTCTGCCTCGGGCACAGTCACGCCAACCATAGGCGCCTGGAGATACTAACTTTTGATATGTTGCTCTGCCCTTTCAGATTTTTGACAATGAGGCCAAAGACCTAGAGAGAGAAGTTTGCTTTATTGATATTGCCTGCGATGAAATTCCGGAACGTTACTACAAAGAATCTGAGGTAAGCAGTAAATGTGGGATGATATATAAAAGAGATTCATTCATTCGTTCATTCATTCGTTCGTTCATTCATTCATTCAACAGATAGTTATTAAGTAAGTCCTAAACCGGGAGACTTTCATCCATCTCTGTGTTGATTCAATTTGGTCTCACATCTTGCTGGATTATTTGATACGAGTCTCAAAATTAAGTTCCTACTCCTCAGGGCCCTGGCCGCCACTCCATTTCAGTTTAGTTTTCCTGTCTCCCCAGCTCTGCCATCATTCCAGGTAGCAAAATATCCCTTAGGCCAAACCATCCAACATACCGGCCTCCAAAAAAACAGCAGTCACCTGTGACTTCCTGTTTTGCCAGGCCCTGCACAACCCGTCTCCCCATCTGCATGCTCTGTGACGGCAGGGGCTGGGTTTTATTTGTATCTTTGGGGTGTGACACAAAGCAAATGCTCTCTCCATCCTCTGAGCGAATACCGAAACTGGAAACAGCTCATCTTAACACAGAACTTTTCTCTCAAAACAGGAAGTGACTTCGTGAGGGCTTCTCTTTTTTTCCATTCTTGATGGAGAGTAAATCTAAGAGCATGTCTTTTTCTACAGCTTCCCCGCTACTAGAATCCGTCGTGTGCCTCAGTCCATCCAACCTTGTGATTTTACTGTTGGTGCGAGTTGCCATTTATATCCCGTTCGTATTTTATTAATGGCTGCTGGCGGAACTTGGGTGACCCCCCCCCCCTTGTAAATAACATCCCAGTCCTGCGCTGACAGCAGATGCAGGGCTATTTCTGTTGTTTAGCAACAGGCAGCCAATCACAATATGTTTGGACTCAGGGCCCCAGACTCGTCCTTGAGCTGTAACACATGGACCTTGAGACTCTTTCCTCAGATTCATTAAGGCTGATTTAAGACATAATAAATAAACCCGTTAAAAATGAATTCCACTGTTCTACCGACTGGGCTCCCAGTATGGTTTTGGATTCTTTTTTTTTTTTTTGCCTCCACATTTGGGGATCTTAACCTGCCCTTAGCAAATGCTTAGCTGTTTGATTGCGGGCGTGAGAGCTCTAGGGCTGATGTCCCTTCTTCAAACGATGGGGAGAGGCTGATGTGACTTACTCTCGGTTGGCCTCCAAGGCTGAGCTTTGTAGCATCATCCACTGACACCAACACTGTGCAGCCAACCACCCTCATGAATTTTCAGAAAAACAGAGTGAAATGCGCTCTGCGTAACTGGGCCTGCGGAGGAGGAGGAGAAACGTGGCCTCTCCTTGTCTCATCATACGGAGGATGCTCTACGGTTTCATATCAAGTCCCCCAGGACGTACGGGGCTTCGGGGACGCATTACAGCACCACGCAGCGCAGCGGGGGAAGCTGTGTCCCGTCACTTCCGTGGCTCCTTCGGCCCGGGTGGGGGGCTGCCGTCTCCCTCTTCACGAGCTCAGGCCTTCCAGGAAGGCAGAAGACTGAATTAATTTCAGCTCTGCCTCTTAGATTGCTTTGATGTGATCCTGCCTGGGACTCACGGGGATCCCTCTTGATTTGGTGGAAAGTCTTAGGATAAATATGGAAAATGCTAATGACGAAATCAACAAGTCTCATTGCCAGTCAGCGGGTACCCGATTCATCTCCTTGTGCTTTGTGCTCTCAAGAACCGTCCCTGGAAAGCTTCTTTTCATTTACACAGACATTCAAGGAGCTTTTTTCTTCATTCTCCACGGTCGTTCATTTCTCTTGGTCACAAAGTATTCTTTTCTGGATGCGGTTGGCCAGGGAAGCGAGAGGTGAATAGTCATTCATCCAGTCAATGTTTACCGAGCACTCACTGAGCGTCACATAGCAATATTAAGATGGTGACATGGCAGTGAGCAGAAGAGACGCTGAGAGTCCCTTCCCTCAGGGCACGTCCAATCTAGCAGGGGAGCCAACAATAGAGAATCACTTGAGTACAGAAGGCGTTAAAAGTCACAAGTGCTATAAAGAAGCATGCCGGGAGAGACCATGATGGGCAAACTGAATTTGAGAGGATGAGAGCAGGAAAGATGTTGTGGAAGAAATGACATACTGAGATCCGCATAATGAAAAGAGCTGGGGGAGAAGGTAAGAGGAGAAGATGACAGCATGTGTGGAGGTCCTGAGGTGACACACGTGAGGGAGCGAAAGAAGGCCAACATGGCAGCAGCAGGAACAAAAGGGTGAATGGCGCAAAGAAGATTGGAAAGGAGGAGGGGGCCACGTTACAACACGTAGATTTTCTTCAAGTGCAACGGAATGCGTTTGCAGCAATTAAAGCCAAGCATCATGTGATCTGATCTGTGCTTTTAAAACATTGCTCTGGGGGCCCCTGGGCGGCTCAGTCAGTCAAGCATCAGACTCTTCATTTCAGTTCGGGTCACGATCTCATGGTTCGTGAGATTGAGCCCTGGGTTGGGCTCTACACAGGGAGCGTGGAGACTCCTTGGGATTTTCTCCCTCCCTCTCTCTCTCTCTGCCCCTCCCCTGCTCTTGTGTGCTGTCTCAAAAATAAAGAAAGAAACATTTTAAACAATTATGAAAGATGTCTCGGGATGGAAAATGGACTGGAGAGAAGCACAGCGGAAGGCAGGAAACCACTGAGGCCATTGGAGTTATCTGCATTATTGGTTTTTCACCTTATGTGGTGGTTTGAACTAGTGTGGTTGGAAACAGATGGTTTTGGGGGCGATTTTGAAGATAGAATTGGGCCGGGATTGGTCATGCGCTGGATGTGAAGATGAGAGAAAAGCAGGTGTCAGGATGACCTTAAGGTTTAATGGATCGGACAACAAGTTGGCAGGGTTGAAGAGTGGATTTCTGAGAAAGATAGATGGATTCTGCGATGCCAACGAGACATCCAAAGCCCAGAGAAATGAGTCTAGAGCGTAGACTAGAGAAATCTGGGCCGGTGACAGTTGCGGGAATATTTGGAAAATCCTGGGGATGAATGAGAGGGAAAAAGCATAAAGTATAAGCAGGAAATGAGTTTGAGTACCAGCATTGAGGGAGGGGGCTGCATGTGGAGATCAGGAAGAAGATGGCGAGGCCCCAGGAATCCAAAGAACCGGGCAGAAAGTTGGAAGGAAGACACGGAGAGTGCACGAAGGAATAGAAGTTTCAGGAGGAAGCGAGTGACCCGTTGCACTGAGCGCTGCCGGGAGGTCCGGTAGGATAAGAATGGAATACTGTCCCATAGAGCGGTGGCTGTCAGCTGGGGGAGTTCACCCCACAAGGACGCTTCCAGTATCTGGAGACATTTTTGATTGTCCCAACTTGGGGACGCTACCAGCAGCTGATGGGTGGAGGACAAAGATGCTGCTAAAGGTACCATAATGGACAGGACAGTGCCCCCTGCCCCCAGCAGGGAATTGCCTGGCCCCAAATGGCACTCGTGCCGAGGCTAGTGACACCCTAGGGAAACCCTGCCCTAGAGGAAATGGTCACTGGAGATGGACGGAACTTGGGATCCAGCTCTCCCAGCCTGCCACTCTGGCTCCCACGCAGAGCCAGCCCTGCCTGTCCCGGACTCTCAGGATTTCTTAGCGGCTGTGGAAGAAAGGGGCTCCAGAGCGCTCAGCCCTGCACGCTTTCCACCAGGTACCCCTTCCCGGAGGATCCCTGGCCTACACTGCAGGTGGAATGCTTCCTCACTTGCCCTAGCAGTGAGACCACAAAGGAAGAGGCGTAATTGGGAGCCCCCGACAAAATCTTAGGGAAAGTATGCTCCGTGGGGCTCCCTCGTGACGCCAACCCCACATCATTCCGCTTCCAGGCTCCAGACCGCATAGGAACCCACCTGAAGGGAGACAAGGGAGTGTCCTAGGCTCATTTGGCTGTGTGTCATCAGCCAGGGGCTGGGGACAAGGGAAGGAGCCGATTCGGAAGGCAAACCACTTCCCAATACGTTTCCACTGGGCACCCTAAATAATTCACATCCTCCTCCCCACCGCAAGAGCTTTCTTCTAAAATGGCCTTGTCATTCTCTGCTTCAGACCCCCTCACTGGCTGGGAGGAAGCCCCGTGCCTCAGCAGGGCCCTCCGCCCTCTCCACTCCCCGGTCCTCCCCACCTCTGCGCCACTCAGCTGGCGAACTTCTCCACTGGGGCCTTTCCTGGGCACCCCACCCCACCCGTGAAAACAAGAGCCGTCTTCTCCCATCACCGTACCTGCCCAGCTAGTCCACGGCCAGCACGTGGCAGACGCTTAGGAGACGGTTGTTGAACGAACAAGTGAAAGCCGGGGCAGCCGAGTTGGCTGTGTCAGCATCATAAATAGGAGCACGTTTTCCACGGAGAAAGCTCAGGCGCTCGTGGGCCGACTCCGTTCTGCGATTTTTGATGCTTATGCATTCGGACCAGGGCTATGTGGGTCACCCGTCTCCTCCCAGCTCCGGTCACACGCACCACTGTCCAGGCCCGAGGCAGCGGCCTGAAGCATTTGCTTTCCTCCTCCCGTTTCTCCCTGGAAACCTCCGAGCCACACGAGAGGCGAGAGTGCCTCTCTTCGTTCAGGTGACTGGAGCTGGGAATTTTCCACTGGGTGCCCTCCGCCTGGCGGAGCCTTGTGCCACCACTCACCGGAGATTGAGAAGGACACTCTGGAGACTCGGATCAGGTGACAACGCGGTGCTCTCCTTATTCTCGTTTTGCAGTGCTGCTGTCTCCTTGCCACACCAAGGGCCTGAGCTTCAACCCCCAAGAGCCTCTTAGCCTCAGGTTTTGTTCTCATGACCATTGCAAGACTCTGCAAACAAAACAAAACAAAACAAAACAAAACAAAACAAAACAGCGTGATTTCCCAGAAACAGGGGGCACCTCCATTCACCTCAGCACAGCCCCACCAAGGCCCCGCCCCCATCAATCGTAAAGCTCTTTGCATCAAGTCACATTAGCACCCCCCAAAGCAGGAGAGGGGAAGTGAAGCCAAAATCCGAACAGGTTGTGCTTGTCAGGCACTTGATACGTGGGTTCTTTCCTCTGCCAAGATTTCCATCCCAACCCTCTCATGCTCTGCCAAGGCTTCAAGGTGAAGATCCCAGCCCAGGAATGAGGAACTCCGTACAATATGTCAAAAGCGTGCCTGCGGAGGACACAGGCAGGGAGCCCGGGCCTGCAAAGCTGAGTTGGCAGTTTGGGGGCGCAGGAACACATCTCAACACCCAGCCTACGGGACTGGTCCGGCCCGGCCAATTCCCAGAGCCTAGCGTAGAGAGCTCTAGCTCGGAGGCTGTTGGTGTTGGCTTAAGGTAGATTCCGCGCTCTGTGTCCTTGATTGACCAGAGACGGTGATGTCTGTGTTGGCCTCCAGGGTGCTGCCCCCCCACAGCTCTCCACCAGGGACACAAATGTTGGGGGGGGGGGGTGGCATATGGGCATATGCTTCTAAATGTTCAGACATGCCTTGCGTAGAAAGGAGCAGGGAACGTAATTACCTGCTGGAGCTAAGTTTATACATAGAGGACTTTTTTGTGCTTTGTTTTTACTTGTTGTTTTTAATCTTCATTGATTTATGTAAAGCAAAGAGGGGAGCCTCTAGACCATTGTCTCACACAGAGGGGCAATTTTTCCCATCAGGGGACATCTGCCACTGTCTGGAGATATTTTTGATTGTCACCACTTGCGGGGGGTAGGGTCCTTATGGCGTCTAGTGGGTGGAAAGGCCAGATACGCTGTTAAACGTCCTACAAATGCACAGGATGTCCCCAAACACCGGGAGTGGCTAAGTCGAGAAACCGTGTTGTAGACCAATCCAAGGAAAGGAAATTTAGTAAAAGCAGTAGTAGCAAGACTCTTTTTCTTTCTTTCTTTCTTTCTTTCTTTCTTTCTTTCTTTCTTTCTTTCTTTCTTTCTTTCATTTTTTCTTTTCTTTCTCTTTCTCTCTCTCTCTCTCTCTCTCTCTCTCTCTCTCTCTCTCTCTTTCTTTCTTAAGTAGGCTCCACACCCAGCATAGAGCCCAACACAGAGCTTGAATTCATGACCCTGAGATCAAGACCTGAGCTGAGATCAAGAGTCAGACACCTAGGGTCGCCTGGGTGGCTCAATTGGTTAAGTGTCCGACTTCAGCTCAGGTCATGATCTCACGGTTCATGGGTTCGTTGGGCTCCGTGCTGACAGCTCGGAGCCTGGAGCCTGTTGCGGATTCTGTCTGTCTCTCTCTCTCTCTCTCTCTCTCTGCCCCTCCCCCACTCACGCTCTGTTTCTCCCTCTCAAAAATAAATAAACATTAAAAAAAAAGAGAAACTTAAACTTAACCAGCTGAGCCACCCAGGTGCTCCTGGTAGCAAGACTCCTTAGTGAATTTTTTTAGTTTGCATTCACTAAGGGCCTACTGTGTGCCAGGCTCTGTGCTGGGCACTGAGGCTACAGAGGCCATGATTGTGTCTAGTCTCTGCCTTTGAACTTGATCTTTTTTTTTTAAATGACAGAAATTCCGGGGCGCCTGGGTGGCTCAGTCGGTTGAGTGTCTGACTTTGGCTCAGGTCGTGATCTCACAGTTCATGAGTTCCAGGCTCATTTTGGGTTCTTTGCTGACAGCTCGGAGCCTGGTGCCCACTTTAGAGCCTGTGACTCCCTCTCTCTCTGCCCCTCCCCTGCTAATGCTCTGTGTCTCTCAAAAAATAAATAAACGTTAAAAATACTTTTTTAAATAAAAAATAAAAAAAATTTTTTTAATGACAGAAATTCCTCTTTCCCTTCCTTTATTTACAGGGATGTAAAAGAAGTCCCCATCTTACCAGTGATAAAGAGAGCATAATAATTAAAAAAAAAATTTTTTTTTTTAATTTTGAGAGAGAGCACGAGCAGAGGACGAGCAGAGAGAGAGGAGAGAGCAAGAATCTGGGGCAGGAGCCAGTGGGGAGCTTGATGGGGGCTCGAAACTGCAAATCGTGAGATCATGACCTAAGCTGAAGTTGGACACTTAACTGACTAAGCCACCCAGGTGCCGCTAGAGCATAATAGTTTTTGTTTTGTTTTGTTTTGTTTTAAATGTTTGTTTATTTTTGAGAGAGACAGAGTGCGAGTGGGAGAGGGGCAGAGAGAGAGAGAGGGAGACACAGAATCCGAAGCAGGCTCCAGGCTCTGAGCTGTCAGCACAGAGCCCGACGCGGGGCTCAAACTCACGAACTACAAAATCATGACCTGAGCTGCAGTTGGATGCTTAACTGACTGAGCCACCCAGGTGCCTCTAGAGCATAATAATTTTAATGGAGAAATTTACAATGTTTGGAACTCGGGTGCTGGGAAGGGCACATGTGAGTAATGCTGCCCAAAAGCATGGACTCCTGAAGTGGTGTAATAGAATTAGGACAGTACCAGGGAGGTTTTAGGCAGAATTTGAGAGCATTCCCCTTGAGCTGGATGCCTAAGGGGACTCCTTTGAACTCAGTCTGTAAGCCCCTGGATTCTAGAATCTTCTTGGACCGGTAGCCCGTTCATTGGTCACACCGATCTAAACACCCGTTGAATTCTCTCTTAAGGGAAAAGAACAGAACAAAGAGAGAAACATCTAACTCTTCCAATAACCCCCCCGGGGTGAGAGATTAAATGCTATTTGCTAAGTCCCACGGGCCGCGGAAAGGGAACCGGAGAGACCAAATGAGTAAATATTGTCACGCTTCGCTCTACCCTTCCATACAAAGTGCTTCGTCCGAACTGCTCGGCTCCCTCAGATTAAAATCTTCTCATTTTGGTCCTCATGTTGGCGATTTAGGGTGGTAAAAATTTTCACTTGTCTCCAAATGGCCAGGCTTAACACAGCTGCCTCACACTGGATACGTGACGTCATCTCCCCCCCCCCTTTCCCTCCGTCTGTCTGTTTCTGAGAGTAACGCAACTGTTTTGTGATGGGTTCCAACTCACTGGGGCCAGGTGCTTCTGGGTAGTTGGACTGACCGTATCGTGGAGAGGAGGGGACACCCTCTGCCACCAAAGTGCTCCCTGGTGACCAGACGCTAACATCAGCTGCCGGGTCGCAGCACCCGGAGCCCTCCTCGGTGGCAGGGTCTCCATGAGGTCAATGCTTTAGAGAGGGAAGGACTTGGAGCGGGGGCTGGGGGGGGAGGAGTTCTGGAAGCGGCCAGAGCAGCAGATATAAAGGGAAAAAGTGGGACACCCTCACTTTTAAGAAGCCTGTAATCCAGGTATCACAACATAAAAGGCTAAGTAAGGAACAGCAGGAGGCAGCGGACCAGGAGGCTTCGCAGCTGAGGTTTACTCCCCTGAAACTCTGTTCCGTCATCACTACAGGATTTCAAGGAGGGGGCAGCTCTCTGAACAGAAGCGATCAAGACAGGCGTTAGAGGAATGGTGGCATCTGAGCGGACCTTTCAAAAATGATGTTCTTTCCTCTTTGTTCACAAAGTAAGATGTGGCCCTTGTAAACGACAACGACAACCACCACCACCAAAAGCAAAAAAACCGGCATAGGAATATATAACATCGAAAAGACAAATGTCCTGTGACGTCTCGTCCCAGAGATAGCTGTAGTTAAAGTCGGTGTTTCTGACGTGTATACTTAACCATAATGCATAAGTGACGTTATTTTATGAAAATAAGCCCACCCTGTGCAACGACAGCACACTGTACCGCTTGCAACATGTACGTTTTCACGAACAACATAAGCTTGCCGCCTGTTTGTGGCAGCGCACGTGTCCCTAGCAGGTTTTGTAAGGGCTGTATGACGTGCCAGTGTGTGGTTCCTCCGTTCTTGTGCCATTCGTCGTTTGCTGGACGTTTGAGAGGGCTTTCCATTCTCTTGCAGGGATAGTACTGTAGGAAGCATCTCACGTGCTATCTTTCCCGTGTCGTTCTAATAATGTTGCCGCAGATTATGGGGCACCTGGGTGGCTCGCTCAGTCAGTGGAGCGTCTGACTCTCGATTTCGGCTCAGGTCACCATCCCAGGGTCCTGGGATCGAGCCCTGCATTGGGCTCCTAGACATAGAGCCTGCTTAAGATTCTCTCTTTCCCTCTGCCCCTCTCTCCCGCTTGCTTTCTCTCTCTCTCTTTCTCTCTCTCACTCTCAAATAAAAAAAAAAATAGAAGGGTGCCTGGGTGGCTCAGTCAGGTAAGCGTCCCGACTTCAGCTCAGGTCATGATCTCATGGTTCGTGAGTTTGAGACCTACGTCCGCCCAGAGCCTGGAGCCTGCTTCAGATTCTGTGTCTCCCTGTCTCTCTCTGCCCCTACCCCACTCAAGCTCTGTGTCTCTGTCTCTCGAAGATACATAAACATTAAAAAATATTTTTAAAAATTACCTTCTGATCCACACGTGTGTGGGAGCAAACTGAATTTTGAAGATGAGTAAGGTGGAAGAGCAGTGTATTGAGGGCAGAGGTAGTAATAATCCCCGTGCCTATTCAGGGGTCAGTGAATAACTGAGTCAGAAGGGAAGAAGAGCCTTGAATGCCAAGCTAAGGAATTTGGATTTTATTCTGCAAGTAGCGGAGGGCCTTCAAAGCAGGGGTCACCAGCCACCATGCAGCGGGACTCCATTTGTGACCTCTCCTGAGAGTCTAACTCCTCCAGGGGATGGTGAGGCCGGGCTTCTGGATGCCAACGGGTTGGTGATTCTCCAACTCCACCAGCCTGTTTCTCTCCTTCCGCCATCCCTTCCACGAACGAGCGGGTTTCAGCCGTTTCAACAGCAATAATATTTTGTTAATGAACAGGAACTTTTAGAAGTGAAAAGGCATTGAACAGCAGTCCAGCCCTCAGCAACCCTGGCTACCACATTTTTAGACCAATAATCAGGAGCTCCCTTCCCTAGGAACAAATAGGTAATCTCTTTGGGATCTCATTTCTTCCAAACAAAAGAAAGCTAGGTCACCAAGTCTTGACAAAGTACCGTACCTCGTGCTGATTCTTAAAAGCACCTCTGTTCTTTTGGCCTGATTATGCGGAACTAACTACTGCACTGTTTTAAGCAAAGCCAATTTTACTAGGAAAACAGTACTGCCCA